GCTCCGAGCGGGAGTGAGGGACCGTCCGCCAAATTGCCGCTGAATAGTTGGACCTGCCGCCCCTCTCCAGAGTGGTCGCCCCAAGCACCTGCTTGCCAAGCTGGTGCCTGGAGCCGGCCCTGCATGACACCCAATTTTCTGACAATCTGGTCCTATGAAAGCTGAAGTTAATTACATATTAGACTCTGCATAACCCTCTTTGTTGCCTTTACCTCACTGTACTGGTAACTATCCGTTCCATACAATAGCCTCTCTACTTTCAGTGTCAGTGAGTTAGAGAAAATCTGTGTAGCTTGTATGTGCTGCAATATTATTTAATAACCAACACATCTATCCAAGTCAGGGTTCCAGTTTTAAAGTCTTCTATTGTCAGACACCCCTATATCTCCTAGAAGCTAGTTACAAAAAGAAACATGCACTAATTTGCAGCACTTAACAGGTTTATTTTATACCCTAGACTTACTATAAAGCATCTGACTGATTGCTCTGAGTTGCCTGCTTATTCTCAGACAGTACAGTAATTCTGGTCCAAATCCACATTCAGTGATGCTAGGAGTCCTAAAAACCTGACCCAGAAGATTATTATATTTCCCTCCTCTTTTCTTTACAATATTTTTTTCTTTGATCCTCTCTCCTGCCTCCCAATGTGCTCATAAAACGGAGAAACAGCATTGGAAAGAAACAGGTATGCTACAGGTAGGCTCGTTGCAAGTCACCATGCACAGCTCTTCCAGTTTCCCTCCATTCTGTTCTGCAGCTGTCTGCTATTCCAGTCTGGGGTTTCCCACACACACTTCTCCTGATACCCCTCAAACTCAGCCTGTAGCCCACCCTGCTATCCAGCCCTGAGTTTCCCCCCGACCCACAGCTCTGCCAATGCACCTCAGTCCTGACCTGATGCACCTCCTGCTATTCCAAGAACACATTTGGTCTTCCAGAACAAATCTTCAAAAGGCAACACCCGATGCAGAGTGCACAATGGCTGATCACTCTGTGAACAGTCCCTGTACTTGAAGTATTTAACATTTGACAAATGCTTTAGGATATCAGAAATATGAAAGGTAATTCTGTTCTATTCTATGGGACAAACAAGACCATTTGGAACCTTCCATTGATCAGCATATAAATTTTAATGTATATAACAATATTTTGCTCTTCTCTAGCATCTTTCCTACAGGCATCTCAAAACACTTTATATGCATTAATGAATTTACTCTCCCTCCCTCTTGTGTATTATAATTCCCATTTATCAGACTGGGAAACTGAGGCACAGAGTGGCTACCCACATTCTTGTAGTAAGCCAGAGGCAGAGTTAAGCATGGAACCCAGCTCTCATGACTCCTAGGCCTGTGCCTTAAACATACGATCATCCTTCTTCCATTTACATTTTCTGGCTCAAACTAAGCAGTGTGATCTAGTGAATAAGGCACTAGACGGGTGGATGCAAGTAGAGCCTGACAAAATTTTTGCACCATAACTTTTCTCCAGTGAAAAAAGCAGATTTGGTGCCACCGAAACACTTAGCAAATTTGGGTCAGTTTCACCAAATTGTTTAATTTATAAATTAAAAAAAGCTCCTAACACAAAAGTCTCCAAGAAATCAGTGTTTCATTTTGACACTTTCAAAATGAAATGTTTTGATTTTTTGATTTGAGATGACTTTTTGTTGCAAAATTTCCTTGACTTTTATTCTTTGTAATATGAAAACATACTCAAAATGGAAATGAAATGTTTTCTTTGACCCCATGCAATTTTTTAGCTTTTTTATATGCCAAATTCTTTGAAAAAGATGGTTTTCAGTTTGACCCATTCCCCCCCCCCCCCCGGCAATTTTTTGGAATTGCTAGTAAATTGAAAAATCTGTTATTTGCCCAGCTGTAGTCAGGGCACCTAAGCATGCAGGCCAGAGCCATAAGTTGCTTCTAGCTGGGCAAAGGAAGCACAGATAGAGGGTCCACATGGAAGGCATAGGATGGGAACTGTGAGAATATATGTGCAAACTTTTATTATTATAGTGACACCTAGAGGCCTCAGCTGAGATCAGGGCCTCATTGTGCTGGGTGCTTTGCACACAGGTTAGTACTAGACATCCCTGCCCTAAAAAGCTTGCTGCCAGGGACAGTACCATCTGCAGTGGGGCTTAGGTCAACCTAACTACTGTTGCATGGAGTATGAAATTTTTCACAGCCTTGAGTGATTTAGCTAGGTCGATATAAGTTTTAGGTGTAGACCAGGCCTGAGTTATCAGCGCATAATTTTTGTACTACACTGTAGTTGCCTGACAAGTTGTGACAGGTGTTGGTCTGGCACACCTGCTCACTGTGTAATGAGCATGGCACAGCAGTGCACCAAGCATGCAAAGGAGGATGGGTGGCAGTGAATCTCAGAGGCCCTGGTGAGTAGTTATTACAATGCCAGAGCACTCTGAGTGATGTAAAGAAAATCTGAGAGAGTTCAGGTGTCCCCCCTTTGCCTGTGTCCATAACACTCCCAAACTCCTGCCCCCCAAACCCTTTGTCCCATGCTTGAGGAGAGGATGGGATGGGGGATCAGACAGCTGACCTCTCTGCTATACACCGGGCAGGCTGCACCAGGTGCCCGAGCACGGCGCCTCGTCTGCCAGCACCAAAGATGGCGGCACAGTGGCTTCACGGGGCGCACTGCTGCTGCGCCAGCGCCCCTCCCTTCCCACCCGGGAGCTGGCGGTAGCGCGCAGGCTTCCTGAGAAGGGAAGGTGGGTGGTAGCGCCCGGGATGGAGGCGGCTGCTACGGTCACTTGAGCCGCTTCCTACCCCCGCCGTGAATGGAGTCTCCCTCCCGCAGGTGCAGCGCTGCGGGGAGCCGGGCGGCCCGCTGAGACGCACCCTCCCGGGAGCGGGGCCGCTGGTCCCCCGAGAGGTGAGCGTCCCGCTGCTCCTGGCCTCCGAGCAGCCCCCGGGGAGACCCCCAACCGGCCGTTGGCCCGGGCAGGGTGCTGGGCATTGCGGAAAGGAGGGGCCCGGGGCAGGAGTTGGGGAGGGGAAGCTGGAGGGGCCCTGGGGCAGGAGTTTGGTGGGGGTGGGGGGGAAGCTGGAGGGGCCTGGGGGCAGGGGTTGGGGGGGGGGGGGGGGGAAGCTGGAGGGGCCCCGGGGCAGGAGTTTGAGGTGGGGCTCCAGTGCCTCTTCACCAGTGACTGTGTGGGCATGCTGGATGTCAGCGCTGCAGGTTCCCTTCTCCCTAGCAGAGGGCAGCAGGGTCGAGGCGTGTGCTGGTCAGGTTAGGAGGCAGTAAACTCTTCTAGCTGCGTGTTACCTTGAAGCCACCCAAATCCCCTTGCAGATACTGTCTCAGCAGTGAGACCCTATCCCTGCTAAACGGCCCAAGTCGATCACCTGGTATCATGGCCTTACAGATGTGTCACAGAATTGGACTGGGAACTTCGGTGCTGGTTTGTACAGGGGGTGGCTTAGGCTGCTGCAGGTGGGGTGCTTGAGGCAAAACCAGCAGTTCCCAAACAGTGAGCCATGGACACTGGTGCTCTGCAGAGCCTTTTGTGGTGTCCTGTGGAAAATTGTCTTGTCACATGGTGCTGGCTGTTCATTAAAGGGTGTTAAATAAACAGCTATGGATGCATCACTCTCCTAATGTAAGCAGCCATTGTAGTTGCCACAATGTTGTTATGGGATCACATATGGGCAAGTAGATTGTTTTGCAGACACCTGCTTATTCACGATCATATTGGCAATCCCCTTAAAGTGGTCCCTATCACTGAAAAGCTTGGGGCCCACCTGCCTTATACATACTTTGAAGTCCTCTTAAAAATATAAGACCTGCAGCAGCTTTCTGGTTTGTCTGGACATAGGAAACATTTTGCATTTACAGTTCAGATTCCATATAGTGCGTCAGACAAGGTGTGGCTCTTGTGTGAATTCTTACAGGAACCGAGTAACTGCTTCTAGGATGGAATGTCTTAATTGTAAATGGGACTATGGGGTCTTGTGATAGGTTCCCAAGTTCCTTGGTCACGTGTTGAGCAAAGCAGCAAAAAGGTCATTTAAGAAATCTTTTTTCATTTGTCTCAAAGTGTATCCTTCATTTAGCACATGCCTAGACCTATATCTTAGGGTTATGTACTGCCTGCTGCCCATTCCTGTAATAACTGTGTGCTGGCCACATGAACAGGGCCGGCTGTAGCGTTTTTGCCGCCCCAAGCAGCAAAAAAAAAAAAAAGCCGCCTTTGGCAGCAGGTCCTTTGCTCTGAGAGGGAGTGATGGCCCTGCCGCCGAATTGCCGCCGAACGGCCAGACGTGCCACACCCCTCTTCATTGGCCACCCCAGGCACCTACTTGCTACGCTGGTGCCTGGAGCCGGCCCTGCACATGAAACTGATCAGCGGTAGTTAACATCCTTGTGGAATTCATGGAGACTCTGCCTCACAATCTTCTCAGGACACAGAAAGCTCAGCTTGTGGTGGGTTGTACTTTAAAAAAAAAAAAAAAAAATTAGGGCAGGGAGTCAGTTATGAATGTCATTCTGGTGGAGAGCTTTACCAAATAGGAAACACTGCAAAACCTTCCTAAAGGTAGTCACTCATTTAATCTCCTCTGGAAGCTCATTTCACAGCTGAATCCCTTCAGCTGAGTGCTTTGTCCCCAGCTGCCTCAAGATGCCTTCAAGGCTTTGTGGTCTGCCACTATCTGGCTCATATACAGAGATGTGGTCTCTAACAGGGTCCCAATACATTACTTTCTTTGAAGGTTACCACTGAGGCTGTAGGCTAGTATCCGAGGCAGGGTGGGAGCCCTGTGGAGGCACTGAGGCACAGGCTTGATGTGTTTACAGCCTAAATCAGGGGTGGGCAAACTATGGCCCGCGGGCCGAATCCTGCCCGCCAGCTGTCTTAATTCAGCCCTTGAGCTCCCACTGGGGAGCAGGGTTTGGGGCTTGCCCCGTTCCGGCATTCCAGCCGGGGAGCAGGGTTGGGGGCTGCTCCGCATCGCTCCTGGAAGCAGCGGCATGTCCCCCCTCCGGCTCCTACGCGTAGGGGCAGCCAGGGGGCTCTGCATGCTGTCCCCGCCCCAAGCGCTGCCCCCGCAGCTCCCATTGGCCAGGAACTGCGGCCAATGGGAGCTGCAGGGGCGGTGCCTGCGGACAGGGCAGCACGCAGCAGAGCTTCCTGGCCACGCCTCCGCGTAGGATCTGGAGTGAGGAACATGCCGCTGCTTCCGGGAGCCACTTGAGGTAAGCGCTGCCTGGAGCCTGCACCCCTGAGCCACACCCTGGTGCCCAAACCCCTTGCCCCAGCCCTGATCCCCTCCTGCCCTCTGAACCCCTCAGTCCCAGCCCAGAGCACCCTCCTGCATCCCAAGCCCCTCATCCTCAGCCCCACCCCAGAGCCCGCAGCCCTCACCACCCCCTCACTCCCCACCCTGAAGTCCCCTCCCGCATCCTGAACTCCTCATTTCTGGCCCCACCCCAGAGCTGTACCCCCAGCCAGAGCCCTCACCCCCTCCTGCACCCCAACCCCAATTTTGTGAGCATTCATGGCCCGCCATACAATTTCTATACCCAGATGTGGCCCTCGGGCCAAAAAGTTTGCCCACTCCTGGCCTAAATCCTGAAGAAGGCTGACAGCTGCAATTTGCACCTGCTTGAGCCTTCATGCTGTTTTCATGTTCGGGTTCAGATGTGATGAATTGCAGTAATTCAGTTTAGAGAGGACAAATACATACATAGCTGTGACCAGTTCCTCATCTGGAAGGAAACAACCAGTCAATGTAATTAGGTAACAGAGAGGCAGTGGTAGAGAAGACTGCCATATTCCTGGTGCTTTGAACAATGATAGCAATACAGCAAGAGATCCTTAGTCTTGCAAACATGACCTGGGTTTTGTATGAAACATTGGAAACAGCAAAAAGAACGAGGAGTACTTGTGCACCTTAAAGACTAACAAATTTATTTGGGCATAAGCTTTCATGGGCTAAAACCCACTTCATCGGATGCATGCAGTGGAAAATACAGTAGACACACACTCTCTCTCTCTCTGAAAAAATGGGTGTTGCCATACCAGCTATAATGAGACTAATCAATTAAGGTGGGCTATTAGCAGGAGGAGGAAAAAAAAGTTTGTAGTGATAATCAGGATGGCCCATTTCCAACAGTTGACAAGAAGGTGTGAGTAACAGACCGTTAATTGATTAGTCTCATTATAGCTGGTATGGCAACACCAATTTTTTCATGTTCTCTCTGTGTGTGTGTGTGTGTGTGTGTGTGTGTGTATAATATATATATATCTTCCTACTGTATTTTCCACTGCATGCATCCGATGAAGTGGGTTTTAGCCCACGAAAGCTTATGCCAGACAAACATGGCTACCACTCTGAAATTGGAAACAGCCTTTCAATTGATGTTTCTTTTTAAAGCAGCCCCGATTTCCTTATTTTTCTGCACCCTGAAGAGTGTGTAAGTCTTCTGTAGAGGTGGCATTAGCAGAGGAAATTGAAGTGTCTTAAGTAAGGGATATCATAAAGATTTTTAGGTTTGTGTATGGCTGGCTGCGGAATGTACTCTTATTGCTATGAAAATGCAGTTTGAGCTGTTAAACCCTTCATGGGTTTATAAATGAGTTTCTAGATCACGCTTTTCCTTTGCTGTTAAATATTTCACCATTTGCTTCTCCTGGGCTGTGGGATGACAGATTGTAGCAAGAAAGGATTTAAAACTTCCTCCTTTTAGCTTCTTGCTTAAGCATTGGCATCACAGTAAGTGGTTTGAAAATTGAGTACTTCCCTTGCTTCACCCCCAGACAAGAACTTAAAGTTATTGTAGAACTTTAGGTAGCGAAGCTGTTTCTAAGCCAGGCTTTATTTAGGGAATGAGGGCAATTAAAGACTTCATCCTACATAACAGGGTGAAGAGGTAAGTTTAAACTAAACAGTAATATGTTGACTCATCAGCTAAAGTTTTGACAGAGCTTCCCTTTAAAGATTTTTTTTTAAACACATACACCCCTCTTTGGGACAGGTCACTTTCTGTATACAAGTTCTCATGTTCAGTCTTTTCCCAGAGGAAATTTTGTTAAAAGTTGATCAATCAGATAAGGAGTCTGTTGTGGGACTTTGAATAAGTAGGTGTTGTATCCTGAAAGTTTAAAAACCTCTTGTCCTCTGATAATTCAGACTGCTTGATATCAACACTTGCTTTATGCACATTGCCACAATGGGAACTAACAAACAGGATATTTTTTGCCCTGTTGGAATACAAACAGTTTTAATTTATTACAAGTTGACTTTTCTATAGTCTCCACATTTTTAAATTTCAATTGGAAGCCTGGCAAATATCACCCTCTCTGCTCCACTTAGGGCTTCTCTACATAGTGGGGGAGTGCATGCTATGGGGTGTGATTTCTAAAACATGCTAACCTTTTTACATGGACCAACGAATAGACCTTTCTGGTGTGCATTACAGGTTCCCTAATGAACTTTCACATAGTGCTGTTCGAAACAGTGCTATGTGAAAGTGTGCTCTGGAACCTTTAGTGCACACCAGAAAGGTCTACGTGGACCAATTAATAGGCAACACGTCAATATGCTTTATAAATCACACCCTTGTAGTGCATACCCCCCACAGAGAAATGACCCCCCATTGTGTAGCTGGACGCTTAATCTCAGCTTTAAGTGTCAGTACCTCTACATGATAAAATAGTTTTCAAAATATAAACTGATCATTAGGTTTGGACTGTAACCCTGACAGTGATTTCCCCCCCCCCCCCCCAGCGAATATACACTGATTATTCTTGCTTATTTTTCCTAAAATAAAATCAATCACCTCCAGAACTGTGGTTTGTGTCAGAATCTTCACTGCCCTACATGGGGGAAAAATGATGGCCAAAGAGCTTAGGGGACAAACATAGGATCACA